GGGTGCAAGGCTCTAGGGAAAGATCCACAGGGGAGATCCGTGAGCTTTGTGATTGTGTCAATCAACGTACCATCTGAGGCTTTGCCCATTCACTAGTGAGATTGGCAAACCCAAGGTGTGGGTTTGGTACAAGTTCTAAGTGAAAATTTAGATATAAAAGTTTTTTTTTTTTTATATAAAAGGTTTAACAACAGGTTTCTCTTGTAAATAGCAAGTGGAAGCCAGAGAGACCAGAAGGCTTGAAAACTTACAATACATACATATTTAATGATATGCTACAAAGTCTACATTATTTATAATAAGTCAGGATACCCTCTGGCTGAGTTTTAATTTGATCAAAAGTAAACTGTTAAACTTTCACTTTGTTATTAATAACAGACATTTGGCCTTAACATTGAGAAACAGGAGGAAAAGAATTATCTACCTGGAGGAACAGAAGTGATCCCAAACTGTCTTGCTTTGGGAAAAAATGAAATTCCACCTCGTCTATAATTTTAATCACCCCCAACTACTTGCATTTTCCTGAAGTTTCAGGGGAGGTTGGGATGGATGACCATTAGTGTATAGGACATACTTTTAAAACTCACATTATTAACATAAAGAACTACATCACCATTACATAAGACAATATATACATTCATCCATGTGTAGTTTTATTCTACTTTACAAATACATATGCCCTACCTGTTCCCAAAGCTAAAGTAATTCAGAAATACATGAAAGGACAGAAATCTGTTGACAAGTTTAAAACCATGAAGTTAATGAAATAATCATATTTATTCTATTCATGGAATTCCTCTCATGACGTTTTGCCAGCCAGATCGACACAGAACAGAAAACAGTTTGATGTTGATCTGGAAAATTCATAGGAAAAATAATCAATTATTTCAGTAATTATAAGTATAAAGTCCAGGTCATAGTTTTATCTGATTTGAAGGAACTGCCAACAAATATTACAGATCTGACCAACCGTAAGGGATGATAAATAATAGCGTCGCTACTGGGCTTGTGCCAAAAAGTCAATTTATTCAACAAAGTGCATTTTAAACTTAGCACTGACGGAAAAGCATCAATTAATATGAAAAAAGAGTTCCCAAGAATGAAACTAATTGAAAACTCCAAGTAGTTTCTGGTGTGGAGTCCTTCTAGTTCTCAGCTGCCTCCCCATGTTGAAGAAAATCTCATAGAAATGACAAGATTACATTTGCCACAGTAAACCTAACAAGACATTCCAGATAGATTACTCCCCAGCTGCTTCTGCTCCCCAAATGCACCCTGCCCCACCCAGCACACTTGCGCATGCACACACACACACACACACACACACACACACACACACACCCACACAGACTCTCTTCCGACCATTGTCCTGAAAAAGCACCGGCCTCAAAGTTTTACATTTCGCCGGGACAACTGTGTGGGGCAGCAGTTGCCTGACACAGCTGCAGTCTGCAGGCAAGGGTTAGGAGGTGGGTGCAGAGAAATTCAGCTCCAGCTGTTAACTCCGGAGAACGATTATTTCTTAGAGCCATGCACCCTTGGAAACTCAAGGTCCCAAGCAGCATGCTGTTGGTCACTAAAAACCCCACAGGGTGCAAATCTCAAAATCTGATTTGAAAATAGAAGAGCACTAACTACAATTACTCACAACACTTGAGATGCTAAGTTGCCATAATTTTTCGTGGTGCATGTACGAGTATTGTAATTCACCGTGTCCATTTAGGTGGAGTGCTTTTTTTCAAAACCTCTGAACACCGTGGTGTCCATAAACAGCAGTACCACATCTTCCCGCATTCTGCCTCGATCCTTATCACTTTATATAAATACATAGCTTTTACATAGTTGTGATCCATGGGCAAATAAATAAAAAGATCTTGTTTATTTTTTCTTCCCAGAGGCCATTTGATCAGATAATTCTAATATCCCCTTTCCTCTTCTTTGCAAGAATGCCTGCTTCTGGCTATAATTGTTTATCATTCGTTTTGCTAGTATGTCGACAGACCACAGTAAGGGAGGAGAACTTAGTCTGATTGATGCTATCGATTATGCTTTGGAATCTTTTAAAATAGTTTTTAATAATTTAAAAGAGTAATTTTTAAATTCGAAAATATAATTTTTATATTTTTATATAATATGCTTTTTAACAGCTTTCCCCCCAAAGCTGTAGATGAAGAGGACAAAAATATCAGGAAATAGTTTCCGTGCCTATGTTTTAAAGCTTGTCAAAAGATTTTGTACACATGATGTTATTTCTGAGTCAACATTTTCTTATAATCATTTCCCACTTTTAATGTCTGACCAAAACTTTATCATTTCGCTCCTGGATTCAAGAAGTGAAGGAGGTGATCTCCTTTTACCATTCTGAATAGAATTTTTCCATGGAGTATTATGTACTCAGTAGATAATTTAGCCATCATTATTATTACGGAAATGTGTGCTATGTTTTATGTTTTGTATAACACTTTTTTTTTCCCCGAGATGGAGTCTTGCTCTGCCACCAGGCTGGAGTACAGTGTCATAATCATGGCTCACTGCAGCCTTGAACTCCTGGGCTCAATCGATCCTCCTGCCTCAGCCTCCCTTCCAAGTAGCTGGGACGACAGATGCCACTATGCCCAGCTATGTTTTAAATATTTTGTAGAGATGGGGTCTCACTATCTTGCCCAAGCTGGTTTCAAACTCCTGACCTCAAGTGATCCTTCCATCCCAGCCTTCCAGAGTGCTGGGATTATAGGCTACGAGCCACCATGCCTGGCCAACACTTATGTTCTAGAACATATTTTTCAATGTAAGATGTGATGTGTTAGTGGGTCATAAAATCTACTTATTGGGTCTCAGCCAGAATTTTATAAAAATGATGCAAGATAAAAAGAAAATATCACAGTGCATTGTGCATAGTAAGAGAAAGTATTGTTTTGTGAAACTTGGTTTAGTACTACAGATGTAGGGTATGTGTGCCTGTGTGGGTGAAATGTATTTCTTTCTATTGTCTTAAAAAGCTTGAAAGTCATTGTTATAAAGCATATATTTCTACTGAACATAATGAAATAAGTATTCACTTCAGAACAAACAAAAACTACATTTTTTTCTATCATTAATAATCAATTCTCTTTTCTATTCATAAACACAATTACTCAGCTTTGTACATTGCATCGAAGGTCTTCAAACCATTTATAAGTAATTTTCTATTCATTTTGCATGGGCACCATTAGAGAACTAATAAGCTAGCATTTGTTGACATTATTTTCCACAAATGGATTCTTATTCCTCTTATATTTATCTATCATGAATAATAATAGATCCAAGGACTCTTGATTTTCATTTTATTATTCTCTAAAGGTGACCTATCTCCACGGCAAATATATGATAATTCTCCTCTATGACACATTGATGTATAACAAAACAGTGTCTCATTGGAAATGAATGAAAAATAATTCTGATTAGTCTACATAAACACCCACCCATATCCATACACACCCTTCATTATTAAAACCCTTCACATGGGTATGAACTCTCTTCTCAAAAGTCATACTGTTATGGGCAGATGACAAATAATCAACTTAGCTGTATCATGCACTGTGCATTTCAGTGCTGTGGAAAAAACGGGCAAGGTAGAAAATAAAAAGAAACATCCACCTTGAGAGGCCAATGTTAACATTTGTACAAGCGTTGGGGGACAGATGGACAAGTCCCACATTCCCTTGAAAAAACCCAAAGTCTGCCTTAGCATTAAGCCTACTGTACTGACACCAACATCCAGGACCGAGGGTGGTTTGGGTGCTGGATGGGCTACAGCTATCGGGACAGTGGGAGTTCTGCCTTAGAACAGAATTCATAAATATGCCACTTCATGAGAGGTAATATTCATCTCTGATGGAAAGGAGTTTCCGTGGGAAGCGAGTGCAGAGACCCAACTGGGCAAGGAAGACTCTGAGAGTCCCCTCACTCAGGATTTAGTTCAAACCACTTAGTGAGGACGTACTCAGCACCAGGCACTATGCTAGGAGCTGAGTGACAGAGACGAGTTTCCAATCAAGTGGGAGAGCCCCCAAAGCACACAGAGAATTACAATTCTGTATGCTAAGGGCTACGGCTGAGGGGTACTCAAGATACAAAGCAGGCATAGAGGAGAAGCCACCCAACCCAGATGGGGGAATGAGGGACATCAGCGGAAGTTTCTTCCAGAGGCGATGTTTGAGCAGAGTCGTGGAGAAGAGGCAGGGGTGTCCCCCTGGGGAACTCGTTCTCCAGCATGGTGTCTGTTCAGGACATTGCAATAAAGGTTAAACAACGTGAGTTTGGCAAATTTTAAAACAACATCGATTTCGTTGGGTTCAATCTAAGCAACGCATGAGTTCAGGAGACCACAGGTAGCCGGGGACTGCCAGGACTCACAGGGAGAGGTGGGAAGATGAGAGAAAGCTGAATGAATGAAGCCGCGACGGTCAGATGCACATGTCACGTGGGCATTAAAGTGGGAACAGATGCAGGCTGGGATTCTATCCTGCTACTCAGATACCACTCATAGTACTAGGATTGCCTGGGTATTCAAAAATATTATTCAATACACTTTAGCCCATCAAAAGAGAAATTAAGAACATTTAAAAAGACATTTCATTCATAATTCCATCTCCTTCAAATTACACCTTTTTCAAGCCTTCCCCCCCCTTCAATTCCTCTCACGCCATTTCTTAACATATACGCCACCTTAGTACTCATAAACTTTTTTGTTTGACTTTTATCACTCGGCGCTAATTGGTAAATTGTTTTCATGGCTATGGAGGGTTTCATTGCGTTCTTACCACAGGCAACCGTTCTCTCTCTGTACGTCACGTAGGCAGTTCCCAGATTTTCCTGTGACAACTGACATTTCCATAGACAGTTTCTACATGTACATTTTCCCTTCTGCATTCCTTGAGGTGACGTCTCAGGCTTGAGATGACTAGGCCACAGGGTATAAGTATTTTTACGGCCTCTTGCTGCCCAGGCCTGGTACTTACAGTTTTGCTCCAAGTAAGGCCGGTGGTGTGGTGCTCCTTGATGTACGCTTGAAGCTCACTCCAAATGCTCAGGTACGACTTCACCCAATCCACGTGGCGTAAATCACTTTGTTATAAAAGAGAGTGGAAGAGAGAGGAGTTAGGATCTCAAACAAAATTTAAAAGAGATTGGGGTACCGGGGTGGGGTGGGGTGGGTGCACATGCTTATCCAGTTGACTAGGGCTCCAGATCAGCCTGGAGTAATTGTCCTTCTATCCCGGTCACGGTGAACAGATTCGGAATAGAGCCCCGAAGGGCAGGTGGCCGAGTGCCCTGAGCTCCCGGTGTGGACAGAGAGACCACAGAGAGGGGACCCTCATGTGAGGCGAACGTGGAGGGGAGCCCATTTCTTTCCGTGCTGCTCTAATGCGAAATGAGAAGCAATATGCTTCTCAGGAATGATAAATGGCATTAAAAAGAAAGAGAAAAAAAAAAGTAATTTGGTTCATTTAAAAATAATTTGGTTGAATTATTTGGTTAAAAGAGTAACCGAAGTGGAGAATTTTAGTCATTATGACTGACAAGGAAGTCGTTATTGTAAAAAAAGTTGATTTCTTACGCAAGGGTCGTGCCCCTAACGTCAGTAAATGAGACATTTACTGAAATTCCCTTAATTTGATACTATTAACAACAATGCAAGCTAGGCAAGTCATAACCAGTTTTCTAAGTCTCTATTTTATTGAACAAAGAGCTAGTAAAATGCTTACCTTTTATAACAGGTTTACAAGATCGAGAGAACTGTTAGAAACATTCAACTTACGACAGGTAAAAATAGTTGCGTTTCCTTTGGTAACTTTTATCTATAATATTTGTTCCCCATTTTGAATGAAGTAGTGGTAAATGAGACAATGATGACATTTGAGTTAACAAAAATTTAATTATGTTCCTGGGCCATTAACCTGAAGATAATCACTGAAGGAAATCTCTATTATTAAAGCTCTTGCCAATAACGACTTGTCTCTAGACTTACTTTGTTTTGTTTTCCTTGAAAAGCTCCAAGTACCCCCGGCATGTTAGAATCCCATTGTATTAAGCCCTGCCTTTTAGGAGAAGTGAAATAGGGAACTGAAGTCATAATTATTCATTCCTCAAACAGGAAAAAGATGAATGTGATTTTGTTCTATATTTTTAGATTTACTGATTGTATTAATCAACTCTATGAAAAATCTCATTTTCACTTTGTGTCACGTTCATGGTCAAACCCCAAAAGCCCTTTAAGTGTAGCTCCATTGGTCTCTCTGGTTAGTTTCCTTAGCCTATAGGGTCTTGTGAAGGTCTTAGTACAATGTTTTACACATAGAAAGCAGCATATATCACAGCTATTATTAATATTAGAACATGCAAATTACTTCAATATAAATGTACATATATATTTATATATATGGTCATTTAATACACATATATGTATACATGGCTAGGTACACCCAACACACACATTTGTCTGTAGACATTATAGAAATATCATGTTGCCCATTCAATATACATTCTATTAAAAAATGTAACAGTAGATGAAGTCCAACTCTGTATAGGAAAATTCATTTTTTCTTTTAACCATTGTAGTTATTATTTTGACTTGAAGAAAGTTCCAGCAAAACTTGTAGTAAGGAATAACAGTATGGTGCCTTGTTACCTGAAGTCAGTCTTTAGGAGGTAATAAAGTGAGCAGAATCCAAATGTACATCAAGGTCTGCAAACTCATCCTCGATTTTCCCTTACCCTGGAAGGAGCTATGATGGGGCAAGGCAGGTTTTAATGATTTTGACTCAGAGATGCCACACCTCTTTAAAGCCCAAATAACTGACTTGCTCTATTCATATATTGAAAAAGAGCCAACAAGCAGTCAAGTCAGTGGTAGGGGTTGCACAGACATGAAGAGTCCTCTGCTCACAGCACTTCTATTTAAAGACAGGGAAGTCTGCCTTTCAACTGCCCATCTGCCAGGCGGGCAGCAGTGAGTTGCAAATGACTACAGCACTGAGAAGGCACTGCAGGCTTGGGTCCACCCATGAACAGGTGGTGCGTGGTGTGCATATTCTGCTTTTGTCAGGTGACCAGCCCTAGAAGCTCAAGGGTGACTTGGGACCCGTCTGACTGCTCCTAGCAGTGAAATGAATGATTTTGCTCCCCTAGCTTCGTCTATGGTCTTCAGGAGATCCACAGAACTTAACTGAGTTGTTCTCGGTACTATCGAAAGTACATTTCCTACTTAAATAGCTGACATCAAGGGGCAAATTCTGGACTCTCTTTGTATGTGTACAAAAATGTGAAAATGTGGTTTCCTTTCTTTCTTTTTTTTGAGACTGAGTCTTGCTCTGGCGCCTGGGTTACAGTGCAGTGGAGTCATCATAGCTCACTGCAACCTCAAAATCCCAGGCTTAAGTAATCCTCCTGCCTCGGCCTCCCAAGTAGCTACGGATACAGACACGTGCCAGCATGCCCACCTAATTTTTTTTTTTTGCTTTTTGTAGGGACAGGGTCTCGCTATGTTGTTCAGGCTGGTCTCGAACTCCTAGCCTCAAGCAATCCTCCCACCTCAGGCTCCCAAAGGGCTAGGATTGTAGGCAAGAGCCACTGCGCCAGCCTGGCTGCTATTCTTATAGATGTCTCACTGTCTACTCCCACCGTATTTCATCTTAACTCAATCTCTGGTTTCCCCCTCAGTGGGCTGGTTTATTGTCTCATTTCATTTCTGCTCTTGATTTATACTTCATTTCCTGATTCCTCCTTTCTTCTATCTGCTGACCCATCAACTCTACTTTGATTGATGTAAAAGTTCTGTAACCACATAGCGCTGGTCCATCACAAAGCTCTCCTGTTATTGTGGGAATGCATGATGGAGTGACATGCATGCTTTTGGGGCAGTTTATTCATTACAAGAAAACTAAGGCAGACTTTCTAAAATACACACATTATGTGGATAATTGATTCCACTTTCCACTTGGCGTTCCCTGCAAAGATGGGATTTTCCTTTAAAGATTCTAGTACATTAGCGAAGAGCCTTGCAAAGGAATCAGCAATTAACTACATTGAGTTTTAGGAACAAATGTCTAACAATTGAGAACTTGGTCAGTAAAAGAGGGTACGTACCTGTGTTTGTAGTCCTTTAGGACCCTGTTAGTGTAAAAGGTGGCAGCATCATTCATCTCCTTGACATAAGGACCGGGTTTGGGGGACTGAGAAAACAGGACCATCACCCAAGCATAGAAGGAAAAAAAAATAGGATAAGAAAGAAAATGCCTTAAAGAAGAAGAAAAGCAATGGAGGTGAGGACTTGAAAGTGGGAGGCAAATTTTGCTCGTAGAGGTTGGTAAAACACTTTCCAACATCTCAGAACAGAAAGCGTTGAACTTTAAACAGGGTAAGAAAAAGCTGACGCATTCAGCCTGGAAGGAATCTTCCTTCAGTGCATCAGACTATGGATGAAGGGGTGTGAAGGTAGCTAGGAGTTCTCCTAAATGCTCCAAAAATGTGACAAGGTGAAGGGGTGACATTCCGTCTGGACTCACCACAGCTATCCACCCCAGGGCAGGGATGCTTTCGCTGACGGCCGACAGATGATTAAACATGTTACTCCCCCGGTTCCTCTCTCTGAAAGTTTGGATTTCCTGAATCTTTTCCGATATGGGTTTCAGAAGCGTGGCCACTTCGTTCTGTAAGCAAACATTGAGGGCCGTTACTACCGACAGAACAGAAGCATAGCACCTTCATCTCCTAATCAGGCGTCTTCAGAACCTACCATTTGTCCAGGGGTCGTCTAAAAAGAAACATATAATCATCTTTCAGGATGGAATGAATCCTCTTTGTTAGGGTCACATTACATATTTTTATTCTCTGGAGTATGAGAATTGCAGATATTAACATAATTTTCTTACTTTACCATTATGGAAATAATTTAATATTATTAATGCTGTCTTTTGAGACGTGGAAAAACCCAGCAGTATGATACAGACCCTGTTTTAGAGATTCCTGCATGGAACACGGTGAAACTAAGCATGGATCAGTTATATTTTCAAATTGAATACATAGATCACACACTGCAAAAACGCAGGTGTAAAGTTGGGGTGGGGGTTAGTAAAACGATGTCTTCCTATTCCTGGGGGAACATGAAGTGGGAGAGGGTTTTACCTTGGCTTTACCACAATCCCTGTGAAAAAGGGGAAGTCTCTCATTAAGGCTTTTTTCAAGAAAATGTAATGGCTTATAATAATTATGGTGACTTTAGTCTGGTTTGGCGTTCTATGTTGTCGCCAGTCCACTTGGCCTATGACTACTGGTCATGCTCACTTCTGACTAACTCAACAACTTCAAATTGTATGACTTCTCTAGCCATATGAAAAATGGCTTTCACAATTATGTGAGCTGAATCATGAAGTATCCCAGAGACAGCTACTCTGGAATACCGCAGTTGTTTTAAACATCTCTTCGTCCATCGTTTAGCATTTTCTGATGTCTTTAGGTGTTGAAGAGCAGATACAAGGTTGTTTATCCGATTTTTCTTTTGTGCTCCAAAGAAATGTCAAAGGTCCTACACTTCAGCTTTGTGAAAGCTGCTGAGGAGCTTTAAGTAGTATTTTGCTAAATCTTGTTTGCAGGAGGTAAAACGGAAAAGCTCCTTACAGCTCTTTAATTTCTTTAACCAAGACTTCAGAGCAATGGTTCCCAGGCCTGGCTACATATTAGAACTACCTGGAGGGCTTTAAAAACCACTGAGACCTGGGTTCCACTCCCCAGAGATTCTGATTTTACTGGTCTGGAGGTGGCCTGGGTGGGGGTAGAGATTTGGAAAAGCTCTCTGGGTGATTTTAATCACTGCCACAGTGGTGGCTTCACACCCCAAAGGACAGTTGTTTCTGCCAGGGACAACAAACCATTAGAGAAGAAATTTGTGTGCAGCTGCAGTAGCACCCAGACTTTACTTCTCCTTCTAAACCTCTTTATATACCCTCTCCTAAAAGAAATGTTGTATGTATGTTGTATGTATGTATGCTTTGGAGTTAGAATGGTCTCAGTTCAAATCTCAGCTCTGCCATTTACTACCTATGGGGCCTGGAGCAAATTTCTTAATCTGATCCTTGGTTTCTTCATCTATAAATCAGAGATAATAATACCTACAACCTATAGGCTACAGGAGACACTGTATTTAAACCCTGGTACATGGGAGGAACACAATAAGTGGAAGTGATTACAATTATTGCTATGATGCGGTTAGCTCATACCAGAGGTAAAAAAAAAAAAATCTTGTCCCCTGTAATATGGAATAGTCATTTGTTTCAAATAAATGTGTATTTAAGATGAAAGAGGCTCCAAATAAACATCCACATAGGCTAACAGGATTTTGTGATTATAGGAGCCTAAAGTGGGTCACCTAGTTCAGCTTTTTGACAGACCCAATTGAATAGGTCACAATTATTATTTTTAAAAATAACTAAGATAGATTGGGATAGACTAGAAAATATCAGAGGGCATTCACAGATAGTGAATTATGCTCTGTGTGTGTGTGTGTGTGTGCAGTGGGTTGCAAAAGAAAATATATTTCTTATTACGGATCTCAGTCTAAAAGTTTGCGAAACATGGCTCTAATCCAGTTCTCCTATTTTACATATGGGGATACAAGCTCAGGGAAGTTTATTTACTAAGTCAAGGTCATCTAGCAAGGGTATGTTGAGCTGGAGCTAGAAGCTAGGTCTTCTAGGAGGTGCTGAGACAATTCTTTATATTGGGTATTGAGAAAAATACGGTCCGCACTCTACACACAGGTTTCTTTTCTGCCAACAAGACTAGAGAAAGGTATTGTTTATAGATTAAGAGCTCAAGTTCTGGAATGACACTGGTTGGGTTCAAGTCCTTGCTCAACAGTGTACTAAGTTCTGAGACTTTAGACAAATTACCAAACTTGCCCAAGGTTCCATTATCCCATTTGCAAAACAGGGTTGACAATTGTTCCCACTTAACAGGGATGTTCTGAGGAGTACATGAGAGAACATGTCTATGTTTGGTAAAGGGTCAGGTCCATTCTGGGTGCTCGACAGATGGTTGGTGATCTCCAAGGGATCTGCCAGTTAAAGAGTCTGTGACCAAATTCGCTGACCAGCTCTTTCCTATCACTTACATGTGAACACAAGGAGAGCAATTTCCTAACTGAGATATGCAGACAAACAAAGGCACATTTTTGTTTGGGGGAAGCAAAAAGAAATATAGGGAAAGGAAGCAAACTTTTCTCAAAGTTCTCAGTGGATTTTTTAATGATTCCATATTAACGGAGGAGAAAAAAGAGTTTGCTACAGAAGCTAGCCAGTGCTTGTGGAAAACTCATGAACGCTCTTCTGCCTTCTCTCTTTCCTTTCTGATCATTACAAAGCAAGGGCCTTACAGATTTGGTAGGAAGACCCTGAATGCGGGTTGTTACGGGCTGTGTCTGCCACAAAATTCCCATGTGGAAGCCCTAACTCCCAGTACCTCAGAGTGTAACCACAGTTGGAGATGGGGTCTTTAAAGAGGTAATTAAATTAAATTGATGTTACTAGGGTAGGCTTCTACCCAATACGACCGGTGTCTTCAGAACAAGAGGAAATCAGGACACAGATATGCACAGACGGACGGAAGATGATTGAGGACACAGGGAGAACACCGCCATGCACAAGCCAAGGAAAGAGGCCTCAGAAGAAACCAACCCTGCCAACACTTTGATCTTGGACTTCCAGCCTCCAGAATTGTGAGCTAATAAATTGCTGATGTATAAGCCACCCAGTCTGTGGTGCTTTGTTATGGCAGACCTAGAAATCAATACCGGGGTCCAACACCAATTCAGGAAAAGCAAACAAGCACCTTCAACTCCTTTGCCCCCAGACCCTCAACAATAAAACAAACAAAAATCCCTCTAGATACTCCTAGCTCTAAACACACTATTCCATATTTGTTCATTAATAGCTTCCAAAAGTCAGTTTTAAATGCTCTCCTTGGAATTTCACTCTTTAGAAAGCAGACATTTTCCTCTTCAAGGAATTCTTTTCAGTCTAAACTCAACACCTGATCAAAGGCATGGCATTGGTTTCCCCAGAAGGCAGCTGTTTTTTAATTGTGGCAGAACTACTAGACAGCATCCTAAACCCAACTATATGCTAAGCTATAATATTCTTGATGCAACGATATTTTTGAGAAAGGCCAGAATGTCTGAATTGTGGGTGATACCTGGCCCACTGCCCCAAGGGGGGAAAGAACCAGAAACTGTATAATTACCATGTTAGAGAGATTTATTAAGGCCATCTTTGTTTATTTCTAACTCCCCAAGAACAAACTCTGAAGTCTGAGAAGACAGAGTCTCCTGGAAGATATTTTATATTGGTTATCTGATAGAAGCATCGTAAAGATTGAGAAAGTTTTCTTTTGCTTTAGTTTGGCAATTGTGTGAAGAAATGTCATCACTAAAAAAAAGCAGCAATGTTGAGAGAACTAAGCACAACAGCTATGTGCACAACCCTAATAAACAGTGCAGCTTTTATTCTGTGCCAATAGATTTCTCCTGCACTTTAAAGTAATCTTATCTCTGCCAGTTCATCCTGAACTTTCACAGCTGGAATCAAAAATAGAAGGGAACATTACAGTGACGGTGTGATTTCCATCAAGGCTTATTGTGTGGGATGTCAGACGGAAAGCCAGTGGGGGTGCTATTAGGTGGAGGTACTTCCACCTGTTTAAGTATTAGGCATACATCAGGCATAATCAATACAGGCTGATTTGCACTGATGCAATTAAAATTACAAAAGGGCTTTTCACTAAAAGAGGAGATCATTTAAGAGGCGTCCTGGGTTTTTTTTCAATGGAGTGCACTGGTGGTAGCTCCCCGGACATGTCTAGCCTCAAGTATGCTTTGGGATGACTTTAAATCAGCTACTTTTGCTACTTTTACATAGTTGTCAATCAGAATTATTTTTTCTTAATGTTTCACCCAGGTTTCTTTTATTCTGAGAAGTTTCCCTGATAGAAAATAATTTCTCAAAGTAGATGTGAAGGCGAGCTGAACATCTTCCCTGCCCTTCCCCAGACTTTTCTAGAAGGGGCAAATGGCTGCAATGGAGGAGATGCATGAGCAACTTGCGAGTATTCAGCAAACATTTCCAAGGGCTATCTTAGCTGGATGGGGCTGTACTTTGGAGAGTATTTTAGGACTCCCATGTCTTTATGACCCTAGTTTCTGCTTTAAAGTTGAGGAATTGAGCCCCACTATCAGCTTCATCTCAGTTTAGCTCCAGAAGTAATTGAATTGTTTTGCAGAAAGTAAAATGAAAGAGTTTTATCAGCGAGCTTTGTAGAAACTTTACCCAAAAAGGAAAACCAAATTCCCACTCATGCTGTTTTGTAAGAGACGGAACAAACTCTGGGAGTTTGACCTCAAAGATGTGTCATTGAGTCAAACCAAACAGGCCTGTTATTTCTGGAATCCAGGGTTCTCATGTAGTTCTGTATCAGGTAGAAAATGGTTCGATCATCATTACTTCTTTTTAACTCATTTCTTTTTCTGATTATAAAATTAATACATGCTCTTTGTGAAACACTGGCAAATACAGATGGGAAAATGTAAGTAAACAATAAGCATCTGTAAATCTACCACATGGAGAAAGGCACTGCTAAAAGTTGGTCCTCATTTTTCCTT